ACAACATTGGAATCTGCAGAATATTACGTTTTACAATAATGGTCACACAATCTTAACGAAAATGACCTTGCAATTGCTGTTGGGTTTTTTTTATTATGGGCTTTAGATTTTAGATAAAAGCCCATTAAATATGTAACATTATCACTGCAGCCCTTTTCTTCTTTTTCGCCGAAGTTGTCAATCGTCTGCTTTCTTCACTAAGCCGGTAAAAATGGTGAGTTGATCTTGTACTTGAATTGAATGAATCCGATTTGAAACTCTGTATTCGTTGTTCTAGATCAAGAGAGTCTGTTTATTCGTTTGGAGATGGTGATTAAGTTAATTTTCATTAGTAGAGTTTTATCGGAATCTGGTTACATTTCTGTTTGTTTGAGCTTGTTTCGTGTTTAGATTGTGTCATTGTATCAAATTTATATGTCTTTGGTGGTTTCAGACCAAGAGAATGAAGAAGGCTGGAATTGTCGGCAAATATAGTAACCAAATTACTGCATTACGTGTAATCATCATCCTATAGCATTTGCTTTTAAGTATGCAACTTTGCAATTTTCTTGATTCAACTCTAAATCATGTGTGTTTCGTTGGTTAGAAGGACTAGTTTGAAAGACTATGAACAGAGAAGTGAAATGCCTCTGTTATAATGACTGAATTCTCAATCTGTATCTGTTGAATTCGTGTGTTTCGCAAAGGTACGCGATATGGTGCCAGTCTTAGGAAGCAGATCAAGAAGATGGAAGTGAGTCAACACAGCAAATACTTCTGCGGAAAGGTACTCTCATTTCAATCTCTTAAAGTAAATTGTTTGGGTTTGCTAAGCTCTCTTTGGCTTTTGAATTTTGTTAAAAAGACTTCTGATTTTATGTTGATTCGTGATGCAGTACGCCGCTAAGAGGAAAGCTGTTGGCATTTGGGGTTGCAAAGATTGCGGGAAAGTGAAAGCAGGCGGTGCATACACAATGAAGTAAGAAAATAAGAATTGGTTTCTCCTCAATCTTCTGTATTTCTCTTTGGATCATTCTGATTCGAGTTTTCCTTTGGACAGCACGGCGAGTGCTGTGACCGTTAGGAGTACCATCAGACGGTTGAGAGAGCAAACCGAGAGCTAGACCGAGCATCATAGCTGCGATCACAGAGAAGTACTTTTGCTCCATCAAATTTTGAGTTCTCTTAGGCTTTTGTTTGTTATCTTCTTGGTTCAAATTTAGCTTAGCTGAGAAGTGTCCCATTTGTTGTTCTATTTAATTGACTCCATTTGGATTTATCCCTTTTTGGCTTTTGCTTTTCATTTTCTGTATTGAATCTGCCATTGACCAATGTTTCTTCCTTCTCAATGAAGTTCTTGTTCGACTTGAGATCATGATTATTACTTGATAGTAGTTAGTATTCATAAAATCTAGAAATGTTCAATTTCGTTAAATCAGAAGTAAAATCAATGAAACCAGTTCGAAAACTAATCTAATCTTTTTATCAATTTCAGTTTTATTTGTAGTTGAATCAAAATATAAGTTTCATTGTATGTTTTGTCCAAAAACATATTTACGTCAAGGATACTTTGTGATACAAAGTTGAATAACCAAAATTGTTACACTAATAATCAATTTTTACTATTCTGATCATTCCCCCCACCCCCATTTTTACAATTT